AGTAATATATTTTTATTGTAAACTCGTATGCCGTCAATACTTGAAGCCCGTGGCGAGATTGTTTTTTGCCTTGTGGCTGTACTTATTTCCCAGTCTTTTTGCGCCCGCTTATATTCAAATCACCCAAGCGCCTCTATTATTTTCTTAGTAAGTTGGTAATTATGACGGATATGTTTTGAAAAAATGCTTTTTCAAATGCTATTCATACTTCTGATTGCTTTTTTTTTTTTTTTTTTTTTTTTGAATTGCTTATTTTATTTTTTTTGCTTTTTTGTTTTGTTTTTAAAATTTAGTAACTGATCTTAACATATTTGTATATATTTGTATATAATTTTTAAATGGTACAAAGTAATTTTATGTTTTATGTTTACATTTTAATGGTTATACACGCTTGCTGATGAAAGCACGTCGAGGTGTAGTGATAAGGCAAATATTGTCTTCTTTTAGCCCCGGTCATGTAGATTTTATTTATATAACACGGTATTGTATTCTTTTTTTTTAATGACAAATAAAAAAAAAAAAATTAAAATAAAAAAATAAAAAAAAACTTCTCATATTCAAAATATAAAATATTGCAAAAAAAGTAGTTTAAAAAACTAAATCGCTTAAATATCTCACAAGTTTAATTTATTAATAAGCTTTTGGTCAGAAGTTGCCATGACTATCTTTTAAAATTGATAAATGTTTTGTAGCTTATAGGCATATTTTTTAACTATATATTTACGAACTATATTTATTTAAAAAGATAAAATGCTTTTTTTAACAGTAACTATTTTTGCTAATATACAAATGTTTCTCTGCTTATTGTTATAACATTCTTATAACATTTAACTTTTACATTCTTATTTTATTCAACAGGTTAATACTATTAATAAAAGTTTTGCTACAGAGCAGGGCTGGATTTACTTATGGGCCGACTAGGCCACGGCCTAGGGCCCCCAACATTTGGGGGCCCAAAAATTTAATAAACATAAAAAGTTGAAAACTAAAAATAATGTGTAGAAAAATCAAAAATGTTGTAAAATTTATTTTTCATTAAATTCTCAATATTCACACTGTTTTGTTTAAATAATAAAATTTTAAATAAAAAATTGAAATTTTTTTTTTCCCAAAATTAAATTATTTTAGGGGCCTCAAAAATGTTTTGGCCTAGGGTCCCCAAAAGGTTAAATCCGGCCCTGCTACAGAGCTGTATAAACAATTTATATATTCATTTGCTATATATGTAAACAATTAAAATATTACATTTTTATTTCTTAAAAAAAATTTTCTTCAAATTTAAGCTTCAATTAAAGAGGATATTGTAAGTTGATTCTATTGTCAGTAGAATCAACTATAAAGCAATATAGGAAAATCTCCTATAATATTGGAAAATCCTTAAAAAGTAAAGTTGTGGGAAACATTGTTAAACTACCTAATTTTGGAATTTATGCAGGTGACACTATTTTTTTTAAATTTTTTTTTCAAAATGCCACACTCATTTCTAAAAACACACAAAATCAACTTCTAGAGTGTTGTGGTATGGTTTATGAGGAGATTCTTACTTGTATACCAGATATTGACTATATTAAAAACAAATATACCTAATATGAGTTCTTTAAAAAGCTCGTTTATAAAGAAAAGTTTTTAATTTAAGAATTGTATATATAAAATTTTGTTAAAACTATTTATTACTTACATGATTTTACAAATATTACCTTCAGGTTTGTCAAAATTAAGACGTAAAACTTTTTTTTGTTTTGGATTGTGCAAGGTATATAGTTAAAATTTATTTATTGGGCAATAAAATATTATTATTTAATATTATTCAAAAATTATTTTTTTTTGTATGTATTTAGGTACTCCCAGAAGTCCTTACGGTCTTATTATAGAACATGTTCTATGATAAGACCGTAAGGACTTCTGGGACTTCCTGTTAAATGCTCTCCCGCGGTGTTAACACCGCGGGAGAGCATTTAACAGGAAGTTCACGCCTCCTTCCGTACCAATGTCGCTTGTTGGGCTAGAGTTGGCGTCGAACCTCGGACCTCTGGGTTCTGCAGCCGTATTCTCATCTCTCCGTTAAGCTTAACGGAGCGTTTGTCAAAAATTTCATTACAACATTTCTAAGTAAAGAAATGACAAAAACTTTATTTAAATTTGTTTAAATAAAACTAAGACTTAAGTAAAACAGTTTTATTTAAAAAATTATTATTTTTAAAGAATTTTTTTTATTAATGTAGTTAAAAAGAACTTTTTGACAAATGCTCCGTTAAGCTTAACGGAGAGACGTGAATACGGCTGCTGAGCCAAAACTCTAACACTGCGCCACGGCTGCTTCAATTTCACAATACAATGGCGATATTAAAAAATCATGGAACATCATGAAAGAAATAATTGAGACAAAAAATACCAAAAAAAATACCTCACCTGATTGAATTATTGTGGATGAAACAGAATACAGCAATAAAAGTTCTATTTCCGAACATTTCAACATTTTCTTTGCAAACATCGGCCCTAACATGGCGTCCATGATTCAATGCCCAAATACCTATTTTAAAACCTTCTAAGATCTTACAGATCTATATAGCGGATTAAAATTCAATGATCTACGTTATGATCAACTCAATACTGAAAAATACTCTCTAAAAATTAACAAAGCACCAGGGATTGATGAGATTTTTAGCCCGTAAGTGATAAGTATCTTCCCAGTGATACGTAAACCTATATACGAAATTTTTAAATCTTTAATTAAAACAGGAACTGTTCCAGACAAGTTAAAAATTGCATATTTTGTACCGATATTTAAAACTGGAGAGCCATTTTCACTTAATAATTACACACCCATCTCAATCCTTCCAGTGTTTTCTAAACTTCTAGAACAAATAGTTTACAATAAACTATATAAATACCTAACTAATAACAATATCTTGAATAAAAAACGATTCGGATTTCAAAAGCAACATTCAACCTTATAAGCGAATTAGATCTTGTAAATAAAATAAATGACTCTTTTGATAATAACAAATTTGTACCAAGAATCTTTATTGACCTATTAAAAGCATTCGGTACTGTGGATAATGCTATATTACTTAAAAAAGTGGAAAAATATGGCATAAAAACGACATAAAAAAAGTTGCTTTATAATGGTTTGAGAGATTTTTTATAAAGAGACAGCAATCTGTTATTGCGGATAAAAATATTTATTCAAAATTGATTGAAATTAAATGCGGAGTTCCATAAGATTTCATTATAGCTTCCTTACTCTTCTTGTTATACATCAATGATTTTCAAAAAGTTTTAAACAAACTCAATGCCATAATGTTTGCAGATAATATTAATTTATTTTATTCATCTACTTCTATCACAAAACTCTTTGAAACTGCAAGCATTGAACTTGAAAAACTTAATACTTAGTTTAAATCTAAATGAATACAGAAAAAACCAACTACATTCTATTCCATTCCAATCAAAAAAAAAATTCTATGCCAAATATATTACGATTTCTAAAAATAGAAAATAAAATTATCAAAAGAATCAAAGATCTCTAAAAATAGAAAATAAAATTATCGAAAGAACTTTTTCTCAGGTTATGAAAAACCTGAGAAAAAAAATTAATCATTACCCGTCTTAATGAGGGGGTTGATGGTTTTGCTCAGTTTATTAAAGGGTTTAAAAATTGTTATATATATATGTATATATATATATATATATATATATATATATATATATATATATATATATATATATATATATATATAATATATATATATATGTGTGTGTGTGTGTGTGTGTGTGTGTGTGTGTGTGTGTGTGTGTGTGTGTGTGTGTGTGTGTGTGTTTGTGTGTGTGTGTGTGTGTGTTTGTGTGTGTGTGTGTACAAGTTTATTTTTGAATAGTAATAAATAATTTTTTGTAAAAAAACAATCTTTAAAAAGTAGTTTAGATAACCTAAAAATTAATGATAAAGTGCATTTTCATGTGCTTATTTGTTTTTTAAAATAAAAAATATTTATAAGCTAAAACAGTAGCTAAAAAAAAAACTCAATTTTATTACAATAAGCAGCCTATTCACCAATAAACTCTTTTTTAACAAACAGCTTATAGGTACTGAAAAATTTTTGAAAATAATTGTAACTGAAATCATTGCAATAATTTTCATACAACCAACTATTTTGTTTGTAAAGTAAAAAAAATGATATTTAAAAAAAATATTGTTTTTCCAAAAAACACATAAATTCGAATATCTTCTAAGCGCATGCGCTGTAGTAAGAGTGCACATGTACTTATATAATACTACATTAAAAGATGAAATAAACAATTAAGAAGGTTCCATGTAATTTCTGGCGTTCTTTGATGGAAAGCTCTTAAGATAAACGCAATTCGACATCTAATCCCTGCTGCTAACTTGCCCCAGTCTTCCCTATATTATATTAAAGTATTACAACATAAAATATTACATTTAAAAAAATATATTTATAAAATATTATATATAAATATTATATTATAGTACCATAACAAAGTATATTATAGTATTACTTAGTCTATATAGTTCATAAATATTGTGTTTTAATAGATGTTTAACTGAAACTCTACTTTACTAAAATATAGTACAGTTAAGGGAGATTTAGGCTGAAAAAATATTGAACAGTATTTGAGACAATAACAACTAAGCCAAATTTTTAAAACCTTTATTTTATTATTCGTAAAATAATTTTCATCAAAAGGTACATAGCTCAAAATCTAAAACTACTATGTCAACTAGCTCCTGCAAGGTAAAAGCATAGTTACAGTAAATTTTTAAAAAGAACCTTTCAACTTCGATAAATTTAATTTTGAATATATTAAATTATTTATTCCATTTTTTTTATTAAAATATTAAATATTTTTACCTATAGCCAAAGACTTCCGTCAATTGACATTAAAAGATGAAGCAAACAGTCGTGAAAAAATGTAACTAGGTGAGTTTTACATATAAACCGACGATGCATTAATTAAATATTTAAAGAAATCTATTTTCTCATCAGCTGTTTTAATAACTAATAAATAACATAAGTAGTTAAAACATGGATACATAGAAAATATAAAATTAAAGAAAAAAAATGAAATTTTGTCTACTTCATGAAAGAAAAGTTTTTTTGTTTTTTTTTTTAATTTCGCTCTAAATATAGTTTGTCTCTCAAGGTGAGTTTATTTTTGCAAGGTCAAAGCATATGTTTTGGAATTAAAAAGTATTTTGAAATAGAAAACCTTTGAAAACATTGCGGGTTTTAAAAGGCAAATAAAATGTTTGATAAGATGATATTTTTAAGAACTTTTTTTTGATTAAAGTTTTTTTCTAAAATGTTTGGAAACGAAAAAAACAATACAACAACACTCGTAGAATACCACTCTGTCACTGTTTTGAAAGTTGTACTTCTCGTATTATCTTCAGTAAGTCTTTTAGCAAATCTTCTTCTGGCTTCGTTTATAACGTTGAAATTTAAAAGCATTTTAAAACGAAAATCAAACAAGTTTTTATTTAACCTAGCTATATCCGATGCCTGCGTTTCGACAACAACCGTTTGTTTTTCTGCATCAATCATTTCGGAGAAAATTTTTGACTCTGACATCATTTTTCATAATAAGCACAAACATTGGCTTATTTTAATTGCAGCTTTTGCTCCAATATCTATTTTAAATTTAATGCTTCTTACAATCGATAGATTGATAGCAATAAAGATGCCATTTTTTTACGCAGATAAATTTATGAATAAACATGTGTATTGCTTTATATCGATAAGCTGGATTTTTGCTGTAGTTGATATATTAACATTTGAGTTTTTGATAGTTTATTTGGAAGTTTCTCATGAAGTTTTTATCACTTTTGTTCAAACTTGCCTTGCTTGCTTTATATCAGTGGGATTTTTAACATTAAGTTTATCTAATATTTTTATATTTATTGATGCGAGACGCCAGCTTCGATTTATTAGTACTGTAACTTCTGATCAATTAAATCAAAAGTATTTACTTCACGCTAAAGAATGTCGATTAATAAGAATGACTTTTGGGTTAGCAATAACTTATTTGATTTGTTGGTTACCTTGTTTTACCATTTCCATTTATTTTCTCTATACAAAGACTTTTAAGTTCATGTATATGATAGGCGTCTGGATTGCTGCTCATATGAACCATTTGTTAAATCCTATTATTTATGTTTCTGTAAGCTATGATATTAAAGCCGACCTAAGGAAATATTTCTTTAAAGCAAAAATTAATACACCACCATTTTCCTTCAACAATTTTACATCAGATTCCTTCACTTTAGACTCTTTAAATTACCAAAAATCGCAAATTCAGGCAATCAGTCAAATTGAAAAGTAGAAGACCTTTGATGTACCATCAAATAAATTATAATGAGAAAAAGCGTTAAAATGATGAGCAACAGAATAGAAAAGCATAAGAACAGCAGAATGAACGTAAAGAAGGAGAGTAAATTATACAAACTGGATTAGATTTATATTGTAGCTAATAAAAAACTGGAGACTAAATTATCTGAAAATTCGACACGTAATTGTAATGATACATATTGAAGTATCTCAAAAGAACATTGTTCGTTGCTTAATTTATTTGGATTTGTGAATTCAAACTGTAAAAAGCAAGCTAAAAAATAAATGTTTGGTTTTACGCTGGCAAAAACAGTAAAGATGCGCTATTTCTTGAGTAAAATATTTTGAATTTACACTAGGCGTTACCATAGCAGCAGATAACGTTTTCAAACATGTAGGAGGATGGTTTCTTTTTAATTATTTCAGGCAGTTGTAGAGATTTAACCGGAAAAGTTTTAATTAAATTTAGTTTCAAGCAAAAAAAAGACTGGCAACTCATTTTTAGTAGGCAGCACAGTGAGTCATGGTGTGCCAAAAGTTAAATTTATTTTTATAAAATTTTGAATGACAAACTACTATTCAATGAACGTAACATTGATTTACATAAAAACATAAGGATTGTTAATCAAAAAATGCACTTTAGCTAAAAAATTTTAGTTTTTAATTTGTCACCCTGAACAATATTTAAGGCGGTCAAGCGCTTTTCTAAAAATGTTTAAAATATATTTATATGGGTTGCCATTTAATATTAGGTAATTTATATTATTATGAATTTGAATTATAGTTCTAATAAATATATTGGCTTTCAATTTTCTGTTTATCTTCTTGAACGTATTTGAATCATTTCATGATCAATTAAAGAAATAACTGTATTTTTTTTGCTAATACTATGCTTATATTTTTTCGGCCATGTTTGGCCAGGGGTTTATGATCAAATTATTATTTTATTATTATTTTATCACAATATTATCTTAATATTTTAAGAAAAATTTGCTCATAAATGTTGCAAAAAATAGGTTTACAAAACTATATATGTTATCACATGTTACAATTTTTGTGCTAAAACTTTTTTACAATAACACAAAATAATTACGAAATCCCTTTATATGCAGTCAGATTTCTTGTTTACATTTAATAAATATAGATATATATACACAATTAACAAGAGGGTAATATAGTTAAATAGAAATTTATTTGAGAATTTCATTTTTTAAACGTTGATTTTAAAAGCATCAATGTTTAAGTTTAACAGCTCTTTGAAGTATTTTGAAATACTCTGATGGAATTTTAAAACAAAATGGAACAAGTTTTTGCGTTTGAAACAAAAACGTCAGCTTTAAACGAATCAAACACGCCTCATAACAGTATTTTTGTACCAATGCCTCATACCAGTACCAAGTGCCAATGCCTCATACCAGTAATTTTGGTCGAAAAAGTTTACAAAGTTCAAAACTTCTAAAGACGGTCAAATTAATGTTAGAAGAAAGGTGAGAGTAAAGTTAAGGTAACACTATCACGATTGAAATTAGGTAATTTACCAATGCTTGTAGATTGCTTAAAAATCTGATTTTGATAAAACACTTTTCTTAGATTCTTTATTGTTAAATGAGAAGAAAAATTATTTGTTGTTGATGCTGACTATTGAGAAAAGGTTGGTAAAGAAAGAAAAGGTTGGTTATTGTAAAGAAAATTTAGGACTATTTAATATATACAAATATTTGATATACTTGATTGAAAATGCAAAATGTTTTTTTAGAGTGCAATTGTAGTTTTTAAGTCTGAGGTCTGAGTCTGAGGTTGCTTTATTAAAAAATTTAAGCAGAGAATAAGGCTTTTATTTAAGTATTTAACTCCTGTATTGAGTACATTTGTAGTTTTTAAGTAAGAGTTTTCTTTATTAAAGAATTTAAGCAGAGAATATTTTATTTAAGTTTTTAGTGTGTGATAAAATGCTGTTACTATTGGAACAATTTCAACTATAGCATTTTTCTTTGTAAATAAAAATTTATTAGAAGACAAGCTAGACTGGCAAAGTATTATTACATTTTTTAAAAACGTTTTTGAAACACGTTAGAAATTTTACTCTTCACCTTAAGAATAAAAATATTATATAGATTTTTTGAAGAAATTCTAGTCAAAAGAAAGTCTTCATAAATCAAAATTATTAGATCAGCTCTTTTCGTACTTCTTGTAACTTGGCATTAAAAGTAGGAGTCGTTGTTTTAATTAATTATAAGCAAAGTTATACCATGGTAAATATATATATATATATATATATTTTTTTTTTTTCGATAAAATACATAACCAATTTGTATAATTATAAATAACTAAAAAAGTTGGGCATTATAGATCAAACTAGTCTATATTAGTAACAATTTCTTTCGGTTACTGGTGAAAATGCGAAACATCTTTATGAAAGTCATTGTAAGTTATTGTGGATTGCTGTAAGAGTTTTTCAAAAAATAATCTTATTCTTCAATCGCTTTTCCCATTTAAACAACTCTTTTTTTCAATCTATTTATTGACATCTTATTCACAAGTAGGCGTCTTTATCTATTATAATTTTATAATTTTAAACAAGTTATAGCTTGTTAGAATTATAAAAGTATAATTGCCGTCTAAAATTCTATGTTATAAAATAAACTTTCTCCTGGACGTCAGATGAAAAGCTCGCTGTTTTTTTGTTTGTTTAACAAACAAAAAAGAGCATAAAACACAGCTCAGAATTTCTAAACTTTTCTGGTTTAGTTCTTTGATCTGTGATTTAAGGCTTTCGAAAAATTTTAAGTGTTGTTTTAATTCAACCTGCAATATTTGCTGTAGTTTCATAAGCAACTGTTAATGTAGACAAAAAAAAAATAGTATTCTTGATCAGTATGCAAACCAGAAGGTGCAAAGATGTTTGCGTCTCAACATATTTTGAATTTTAAATTCAGTTGCGTTAGTTCTTATAACTTTTTTTTTTAAGCTTGCACAATTTTATTTTCAATCAGGCAAATAAAAAACTAAAACACATACATCTGTTTTAGTTGTTTACGTGTAGCACTGCGTGTTGGCAATGTGTTCTTTGCATTTCTCTCATCAAGAATGAATGAGAGGAATGCAAATTGCGCTGAAAAAATATTGAATGTTGTACATAAGGTGGTACATAAATATTATGAAAATTATCTTTAAATTTTAATTTTGGTCTGGTTTCTTTTTCTAAATTTGAATGTCTTTTTTAGTTCACTTACATCAACAAACATCATACCCTTTTTTTAAATTGGTTAAGGTGGTCCTAAATAAACTGAGACTTTCCTGAACTTATTGTCAATGGAGTAAAAATATTTTTACCTCTAAAATATTATTTTACCAAATAAAAGTAGTCAAAAATGTTTTGACATTAATACTAGATAGTGATGGCAATTTGAGAATTAGGTAAAGGTCATATTTTGGATAGGGCAAAAAAGAGGTCATGAATCTCTTAATGGTGTTGTTACAGCAATATCTCGTACTATTAATAAGGTTATTGACTATAAAGCGCTTTCAAAAAAGTGTCAAGCTTGCCTGTTGTGGCGTAATCAAAATAACACAGAGGAATACCAAATATGGAAAAGCAGCCATAACTGTTCAATAAACCACAAGGGCTAATCAATTCAACAAAATGGTTTGCGCTATATTTTTTTGTAGCTCATTTCTTAACTTTGTAGAGAGTAGGCCATATGGCGAAGATTTTGTTATTAATAAATTTGAATGTGCTGGTCACGTACAAAAAAAACTTGGTAATAGACTACGTTCACTAAGACAGAGTATGAAAGTACAAATTTTAGTAGATGGGAAAAAACTTTTTGGAAAAGAGCGCTTAACTAAATCTTCTATTAACCTACTACAAAACAACTTTGGCATGTCCATCAGACAAAACTCTGCAATTTACAGCATGAAAAAAGCTATTATTCCAGTTTTGCCTGCAGTGAGTCTAATACTAAAGGTCAAAGACATCTATATTGTTCAAAAACCAATGATAGTTGGTGCAAATGTTACTATTTAAAAGAAGTGAAAAGATTAAATTATGAACCTAAATTGTCACTGCCTGCTGCTATTAGATATGTTTTAAAACCAATTTTATGGAGCTAAGAACTGCTATTTTTATGTAAATGCTTGCATGGAATGACCCAGAATGTCAATGAGTTACTTAATGCAATATTTTCGTCTCGATGCCCTAAAAGTCGAAATTGCAATCAAAAATAATTAAATTTGGTAATTTTTCAGTAATTATTCATTCTAATGATAGTTTTAATGGCCTTCATAATGTATTTAAATTTTTAAACATTACTCCTGGAGCTTCATTTTGCATAAATGGTCCAAAACGAGATTTATGTAGAACAAAAAAAACATTAAGTCAAGAAAAAGTAAAAAGCAAAGAAAAGTTTTAAGAACTAAAATAAAAGGTTTTATTGATGAACACAAATGACTGTGAGTCACAATGAAACACAAATGACTGTGAGTCACAATGAAACACAAATGACTGTGAGTCACAATGAAACACAAATGACTGTGAGTCACAATAAAACACAAATGACTGTGAGTCACAATGAAGCACAAATGACTGTGAGTCACAATAAAACACAAATGACTGTGAGTCACAATGAAACACAAATGACTGTGAGTCACAAATGACTGTGAGTCATAATGAAACACAAATGACTGTGAGTCTAATATGACTGGAGCATATGTGTTTTGTTGAAGTTTGATTCTTGTTTTTTTCTATTTAGTTTTCTAATTTTCGTTTTTCTCAGTTTTTGATTTTTGCCTTTTTTTTAGTCACCATTTCCAGAATGAAATTTCTTAGACTTTACAATTTGACTTAAAAATTTCCCAATTTATTTGTTTAGGTTTGATCTACAACTTGAACTAAAATGGAGGTTTTTTACTTTGTTTTTTTTGAAATTTTGGTCTTAGAACTAACGAAACTACAGTCATTTTTTGAAATAAATGGTCTTTTATCTATAAAATATAAACTACTTAATAAATTTTATTGATTTTAGTTCAAATTTTTCCTTATAGTAATAAAAAACTTTTTTTTAAATTTTATTTCATGGTTTAAAAGTTATTAAGGTAACAGAAATTGGGTTATTTAGGGACCAACATGATTTATTAAGCCCGTAAAAGTATTTTTTTAACTTTTTTTTCTTTTTTTATATCTGGGCATCCTATTATATGCAGTAAAAAGTTTTAATGTCAAACATTAGTGACACAAGTTTTTTTTCTGTTGTTAAAATTTGAGTACATAATCCCATTTGATTACATTCAGGCAAACTGAATATATAGGGCAATATATAGGGCAAACATATTGTTTCTGCCAAATTATTAAAGTTTTGTTACCTGGTTTCTACTGATGTAATTGACACATTTCCACTAATACACACAAAAGGGCACATTAAGTGCAAAAAAAAAAAAAAAAGTTTTACAATCTGTAATCATCAGCAATTTCATCAAAAAATTTGAAACTGTATTTAAGTGAGGTCATAAACAAAAAGCGCAATGTTTCAAAAAATTATTTTTTTTTTTTTTAAACACACTATTTTTAAAGACCTATTAATATATATTTTAAGTACTTTAAAATTATTTTTTCATTACCAAAATATAGCTGAAAACCTATATTTAAAAAATCCTAAAAAAAATTTGGAACTTTTAACCAACTTCAGCTTTAACGCTATAAAAACAAAGTAATACTTTTAACTCGCGCATACGAGTTTTTTTTTAAACA